CCCCCCCGTGTTATATTCCTTTGGTCATTTCTGTGAGGACTTGGCATTCATCTAGTCACCTATGTCTTGTTTGGTGAATACTTGGTGACTACGTATACGATGCCAGGCAGTGTGCTCAGCTCCGGGATGCAGCGTGAGAAGGAGAAATGGAGGCCTGTCCCTGTGGAGTTTCTCGGCGGGGAGGAGAGGGGGGCGTGAGGAGAGGCAGGCACGATGGCGTCATCACGCAGAGAATGTTGTAAACCCCAGCCCTGAGGAGCGCTCCAGAACTTACAAGGGGCTCGTTTTCCCAGGCACTGAGGTCAGGGAAGGTGTCTTCCAGCAATGGGGATTGGGGTGAAATCATGAGGGGAAGGTGGGGTGCCGTGTGTGCACGTCCTCCGGTGGGAAGGGGTGCGGTGCAGGACTAGGTGGCACGCGGGGCAATCAGACTTGCATGAGCCAGAGTCTGCCAGGCTGCGGCGTGAGGAGATGGAGAGAAGCAGCCGTGGGTGGCTGTATCAACCGGGGAGGAGGCGGTGGCAGTCGTCCAGGTGAGAGGTGACAGTGACTTGGATGAAGATAGTGACGGTGGAGAGGGTAAAGGTGGCAGTTAAACATATGAGGTCTGAGTTGAGTGCCGAGGGGTTTTGTGATCGGAAGTGCAGAGGGAGCTAAGCTCCTCCTAACCATCGAGTCATTAAACATGCTCTTCCTTTTTTCTTCTTGGACCTTTTAAGCAAGATAAGCAGTGAGCTTCCTGTTCTAATCTCAGCAAAAGGGCATGACTGCTTTGGCCTGGCAGTGTCTGGGATACAGCTGGTAGACATTTAATTTATGACTGCCATGCGAATGGATGCGTGCCTCACCACCCACTCTTCCCCCACGCCTCTGAGTCCTGTAACGAGGGCTCTGTCTAAAACCTCTAATTCCGGGCTGCGTGCATCACCCTCTCTCTTTAGATACCTGTGTCAGACATTAATTGATTGCAGCTCTTTTTTCTCACCAAGCCCAGATGTGAGCTCACTATGCCCCTCCCCAAGCCCCTGAGGCTGCCTGTACCAAGAACACTTGACTTGAAACCTATTTGCTATTTTAACAGTGAGTAGAAGAAGCTCACAAGCAAAGAAATTAACACTGACGCCTCCCTACTTCCTCTGTGAGAAAGGCAGTCACCCCAGGAGACCTAAATTCTCCTTGCTTTCATACGTTAGAATTTGCCTCTGTGAGGTTAGCAAACAGTCCACAAGATCCCTCACTTCTGACACCAGCTGCAGAGTTTGGGGGTCCCCACGGCCACTCTTGTGTTCCATGATTTGCTACAAGGAGGCTCACAGGAACTTACTGAAAGCTGTTGAGCTCACTTATGGTTTATTACAGTGAAATGATGCAGATTAGAATCAGCCGAGGGAACAGACGCATGGGACAGAGTGCATGCGAGTTCCAAATGCAGAGTTCTCAGCTGTCCTGTCCCAATGGGTCATGGACAGCATCGAGTGCTCCTGGTAAAAATGTGTGACAATACACAGGCAGAACAGCCACCCAGGGAGGCTCACCTGAGTCTTGGGGTCCACAGGTAGATCTGATACCGTGTGACCCAAAGCCCCCATTATAAATCACATTACTGTCGCACGTGACTCCAAGTCCTCAGGTAAACAGACACTCATGCAGGGCATTCCCAGGGCTTGGAGATCACGTCCCAGGAGCAGAGGGCATAGGCTGACTGACCTCTCTCTGGGCAAGGTTAAATTGTTGACCACACAGCCACTGTTATTCGCCTTCAGTGCACCGGAATGATCTGACACCATAAATAGCCCAATGCATGCATAAAAATCTTTTTATGTGTTTTTAGAAATTCTTTCACAAACTAAAGATTAGGTACCCAAACTGGCCTTTCTCTTACACATTCCATGGAGGCTGGTTAGGTAGGGTGGTGGTCAGGTGAGGGTAATGGGCTCCTTCAGTCCTACTCCTGGGTTCGCATCCCAGGTCTACCACGTTATGTGGCCTTAGCTAGTTATTTTACCTTTCTCAGCCTGGGGTTCCTCATTCATGAATGAGAATAATAATAGTACCTACCTTGTGTTGTTGTTATGAGATTTAAATGAGGTTATACGTGTTAAGGCCAGAGGAGTGCATGGCACTTAGAAGCACTCAATAAATATTAGATACTCCTATTTTTACATTTATCATGCAAAAAATTATCAACCGTTTTCAAATTATTTTCTGTAGTAAAACTTATAGGTTTTACCTAAAATATTTCCGTTTTTCACTTGTACTTATCTCTCTCAGCACAAGTGAAATAGCAATCTTTCTTAAGAAATTGTGGCCTTTTTACTGGGTCCACCTGGAATTAGAATGGTGAGAAGTGCCCCTGTGAGCCACTGTGTTCTAATGACTCTGGGATATGGAAATCGTTGGCAGACCTTGGCTGTAAATTGTGGGCAGATTGAAAAGGTTAAAAAAAAAAAAAAAGACCTGTCACTTTCCCAAGATGCCCCTGAGAAATCTAGAAGATTGGAGAGAAAATAAGTTAAACCTCGAGTCAGTAATTTTAGACTGCTGTGTCACACACCCTGATCCCTTTGGCACTCACCTCTTTGTAGCACGGAGCCCCTTGAAGGCTTTGTTTGCAAGCATCACATCGCCAGGCCTAAAATACGGCCTGCCTGCTGTGGACCGGACTAATTGGCCTTTTGGAAACTGTTTAAAATCAAACGAAGCACAGGAGCTTTCTGTCATATTAGCAGAGCCTTGAGTTCCTACCAGCCATTAATTGTTTTTTTTTTTGAGGCTTTCCTCGGAGGGCGACCGAACTTGAGACTTGGCTTCTGCTTTGCCATCTGTGAGCTGCACTTGTCCACATGTGATATGTGTTAAGTTTGTTTTTCCAAGGAGCATCACTTTAATGTTTTCCAATATTGGAATATGTTCAGACTTAGATTTGATGCTCGTTTCCAACTCTTGCAGGTTAGGTTGTCCTCACTCAGACTGTGGGGGCTGACTTATGAGGACTTAGCCGGTAGAGCTTCAAAAAGACCATTAGCTTCTAGGCGGGGGACCTCCCCCCAGCCCCAGCTCTGGCGGAGTTGGCTTACTTACAGGACAGAAACAAATAGAAGGGGCATTGCAAATGGTGACCCAGCTACCTAACTGAGCGCTCTCTTGTCCTCCAGCTTATTTCCAGCGATGCCGATGGAGCCATCCAAAGGGCTGGAAGGTTCAGAGTGGAGAATGGCTCTTCAGATGAGGTAAGGAAGCCACCCAGTTCCTGTCTTGTCCCCGGGCACAGGGAGACTTGCGTGACCACGGAAGACCTGCCTCACTGGGGCCTGGGAGGGGGTGAACAGAGCTCTTCAGAGCTTTGCTTGAAGCAGACACGAAGGGAAACTGCCGTTATTCTTTGTATGGAAGGTGCTATTAATAGGATGACACATGCCCTTTAAAAGATCTGTGATACCAACAGATAGACAGACAAGATGAGACCAAAAGACAAATTCGCAGCCATGGCACCCGTTGTGAATGGCCCCCAGCATCCCAGGCTGGTCACCTTGGCACTGCCATATGAGCAATATCAGGGTTCAGGAGAGAGATGCAAAGAATTACTGTGATTACAAAATGTCATCTTTATTCAGAGAAGATACCAGGAAAGGAGGCCATCACTATCTACCATGCCTCGGGCCCAAGCCCTCGTCTGGGTTCTCCTGCGCTTGCTTACCAGGCCACAGGGATGGACTCGCCTCGCTTTCCTTCTTCTTTAAAACTTCCGCTGTCCACTGTGTCCCTTGGGGTTGACCCCCAGTGGAAGGTAGCTCATCATTGTGCTCCGGCAGCCCCCAGCTTTAAAGCCAGACAGTCCCGGGTTCAAGTCCCAGCTCCCCCACCTCCTAGTTGTGTGACCCCAGCAAGGAGCCCAGCCTTTCTGAGCCTCGGTTTCTTCATCTGTAAGATGCAAACTGCCTCATGATGGTTGAGAGGATTCAGTGAGCTGGACCTGAAAAGCCGTTAGCAATATGCCCGGCTATAGTCAGCATTCAGGAAGTGATGGCTGTCATCATAATAACGGTGGTGGTAGCTACCGGTCATCATAATAACGGTGGTGGTGGCTACCGGTCATCATAATGACGGTGGTGGCGGCTACC